CTTAACCTGCTATCTGCCCTGGTGAGCCAACCTGAAGATTCCTATGTGAATTTAACCTGAAGACTTCTATGTGGAGTTTATCTGAAGGTTCCTATGTGGAATCAGCCTGAAGAATCCAATGTGGAAATTCCCCTGTTGTTCTCTGCAATGAGCTGGAAGCTCAGCCTGAAGAATCCTATGTGGATATTCCCTGTCGTTCTCTGCAATGAGCTGGAAGCTCAGCCTGAAGAATCCTATGTGGTTATTCCCTGTTGTTCTCTGCAATGAGCTGGAAGCTCAAATCTAGGTCTGCCATGCTAAGCCTGAAGCTAGATGCTTAGCCACTCATGAACTCTGCTAACCAGCAGTTGAAATTGAAAATTTAGAATGTTTCCGACATGGGCTTTCGCTGTTTTCTCGCTGGTTCCGCCATGATAACTGCACAAATATTGCCACTGCGCTAGCAACGGCGTGTAGCAGTTCTTGCCGTAAAGCAAGACTGACTCTCGTGATGCCCGAGACTTCTGAGCCTGTGAGTGCGGGCCGAGAGCTCCTGCAATTGCAAGTACGGTATTTCCCCTACAGACCACCAGGGCGGCCGAGAAAACCTTTGTTCGACCTGAAATGACTCATTTAATCATCCAATACATCCAAAATGCTTGGAGCTTGCACAGCTGTGGGCTCAAAAATCAGGTCTGCGAGCGTCCGGCAAAGATTGAGCCCTGAACAAGGTCATCACCTGCTTCTTATAGCTCATGAGTCTATGTTTTGCATCATGTTGATGTTGAGCTGTCCGTATCAGAAACTGACACACCATCCATGTCTTGAACTTCATGCAGCTTGCTTCTATGCCTCAGGGTTACAGATAGCTATCCTCTATCAGACCGGCTCCAAGATGTGCCTATATCCTGTGTTTTATTAAAGACACGAAGGCTGTCCTGATTAGATGACCTCCGTGTTGGGAGCTGGAGAAAATCCCATCTTTCTCCAGCAGAGTCCGCCGTGGATCCTCTGAGGGAGCCTCCTGCACAGCTGCAGCTCATCAAGATCATCAGAGGATCCACTATATAAGCTGTCTTCAGACCTTGCCTCAACGCCGCAGTGTTGTTCCAGTTGGTCAGCGCTAAAGCCTTGATCTCAGTGATTATTTCCATGACTCTAATCCTTAGTTGGATACTAACCTCTGTATCTGTGCCTCTAGGAAACTCGTGCTTCCCCCGTGAAAGCTCTGGAAGAGCTAACCTGCCGAGCCGACCCTCAGAGCCAAACCCTGAAGATTCTCAGACAACCCCCAAGCAGCTCTGGGCTAGAGCTGGGAAACCAAGGCCAAGGTCTGCTCAAGCTAGACGTGAGACGCTGAAGCAGCTAACGGACTCTGCTACTAAATCCTTCTCCAGTACCAACAGTGACTCTCCCAAAGAGAACCTCAAGAACCCTCAAGGTACTATCTGTGCACCATTGGAAACCAAACCCCGTCAACAGTCCTTAACTGTGCTGTCTCTCACGCAGACTCCGGTGAAACCAGAATCCAGGCCCGAACCAGCCTTCAGTATATTCAGTGTGGTTGTGCAAATAAACTTGTTAAACTTTTCATCCTGTGTCCGTCAGTGGTGTTCTGCATCTTTGGGTCTCCATTAGAGAACCGATCATGACACTCCGTACACACAGTGACATTCACAATGTGAAGGAAGTCCTTCTACTCTGTCTAACAGAACAACAATGCACATGATGTATAAATAATAAACCTAACAACTCCCCCTGATAAGTTACCATTTTTACAGATAACTTAAAACACAGAAAGCAACACATCTTTGAAGGACCAGGTGACAAAACAGAATCCAGGGACAAGGTTAGGGCACAGAAACAGGTCAGGGATCCAGGCGGCACAAAAAAAAATTCCAACAAGGGCTAGGCAGGCTGAAAAATCAGGAGGCAGAAACAGGTCAGGATTAGGTAGACAGAGAGAAAAATGCTGAATGCTTACTAGCCAAGGCTATCAGGCAATCTGGCACTGTCAACTAGACAGAGGCCTGCTTAAGAAGGCCGGCAAACAGGTGAGAGGAATCAGCGGCAATTAGGCTGAGCAGTCGCAGCACAGGAGGGCCAAATGCACAGAGCAGATGGGGAAGGGGAACAGTGGCGGCTGGTGAAAAATATTTTTGGTGGGGCTGATATAGCCTAGTGTTTGTCTCCAACTAATCCGGTATAAGAATTCAAATAAACAATTGGACAATACATATAATTTAACAGTAATGATTTAATTTACTATATAATAACAGTAACAGTGATGATTTGGGTCACTGTGACGGGGTTCTTTGGCCTCCAAGAATCCAGGCTCAGTCGGGTTACCGGTGTTGGTGATTTATTGTGCTCAAAAACTCAAAACAAGGTGCAAAAGAAACTAAACATGTACAAGATACTCTGGGCCTCAGCCTCCCTCCAGTTACCAGCAATGTAACAAAGAAACAGAAAACAAAAATTGCCGCTTTTCTTCCCACAGCCCTCATTAAATAGTTTAAGCCCCTCACCTCAGGCTCTCTTATTTCTGATTTCTTCTCATAAATCAGTTTTGTCCATATATTACCTCCACAAACAATTGATGTACAAAAACAAACAAATAATTTTTACAACTTAATTATTTTACACAGATTCATTGACTTATTCAATTACACCAAACTGGGTTTGAACCCAGCAAAGACGCAGCCAGACTGAAGATGACAAGTCCCCATAGCATAAACACGTACACACCCACACCCCCCACACACCCACACACACACACACACACACACACACACACGGCTAACCCCACTGAAATATTAAGTGTGCACCCTCAATATGCCAGCAGGTAACCAGGACAGCTTGTGTGTTTTAAGTTAATGGAGCTACTTGGCTCAGCGCGAGCGGATTGGTCCTCACAAACACAGTATAACAGGAATGTGTGTGTGGCGCGCAAAGTTAGAGGATGTGGATTCGTCACAGTCACAATAACCATGACATGAAATTTTCATATCCTACAACAGGGATGTTCTTCTGGCAAACGGGTAGATAAATAAGGATCTCACCGAATTTGGTGGAATCTGAATCTCGTTCGTTACATTCGCCATCTTTCCTCTAATTGTCTGCACCTGCGCTTGAGTTCAGAAGCCTGTTAAAGCGCAGTATTTTCAGAGCCCCAAGACCATAAAGTTCTGAGACGCTGATTGGCCATTAAATTCACCTAGCAATAGTACATGATTGACAGATTCTCTGCAAATGTGGGTCTGTCTGATCAGCGCCCCCAGAACAGAGACGGTAGGAGTCTGTCTGTGGAAATCCACAAATGAATGACAGTAGATAGGGAAATGTAGTTTATATAATTTGTTTTGCTTATATGTAAACACTCTAGAGAGTAAAACTGACATTTATGAGTTAATTTCTAAAAATGTATTTTACGTTTCTCTCTTCTTATCAGGGAGGGCGGTGCCCCAGCCGGCCGCCACTGGAGGGGAATGAAAACAAATACTAGTTGACAGGCCAGAAACATAACAACATGCTGGCAATGAATGAGTTAAAATTATTTAACAGGTCTGTCAAAGTATATTCAACATTGATCAGAAGACAGGCGTTCGGCAAATCACACTTTGCACTTAGATGTCAACATTCATTTAATTTATGATCATTGGCTAGACATTTACATCACATTTGACAGTTCGTTCAAGAGAATAATCTTAACACGTGTTCTTAAATTGCTTAATTAAAATGCCTTTTTTAAACCTTCGATTCGGCTCTCGGCCACAGCTCCACTTGTCTCACCCGCATCTTCTAGATTCAGGCTGTCACCTAGCAAATCAGCAGCAGTCAACAGATTTATTTTATGTTCAACTACAACCAAAATTCGGATTTTGAATGCTCAGCAGTGCCTGTACACTCTACTCTAATTCTGAGTCATGACAACTTTAAAGACAGATAAATGTGCTTCAAACTAGTTTACCTAGGTTCTCATGCTATCGCTATGTCCAGTGATTAGGACTTCTACATATTTGGTGACACAATGGTAAGCTTAGAAAGGTAATGTCTTCTGACTCTTGACTTACCTCCTTCTTCTTCGTCTTTGCCACCAGACAGTGATGCTGTTCAGATCACCGTCACCTGCTCTGCTGGTTGTGCCACTGAGTTCGAAAATAAAAACTTGTGTGACCTCTGGGCCACAGTTATTTGGTCAGGCTGCTCATAAACGTGCAGCCTGCCAAATGTCGAAAGGGCAATATTATTGCCATTACTGTCAATATATAATAGAAATTTACACATTCAGTAATAAAATGTCACAGAGGATGGTTTAGGGGGATGGTCATTTAAGAAGATGGATGGGACAAATATTGTGGATAAAATCAATGAATTATTTATAACAGTAAGTTAAAATAATAAATTCTCTTCTGCTATTTAATCGATTAAAGGAATGCTCTTGATACTTTGAATCACATTTTTTTTTGTTAATTGGAGAACAGATACTAGAATGTGCAAATCAATGAAATTAGGTCCGAACTTAAGCAGGTCACATGTGGGGTGCCACAGCTTTCTGTGATTGTTGCTAATTTATTTATTCTTTATATGAATGATTAATATAAATATATCAATGATATGAAATTTCCGAGTTATTAAAATGTACAACTTCTGTTGAGGTTACACAGCTTTACCGTTCAGGAAAAATTGCCAAAATATTTTAATTATAGTAAGCAGTATACACTTTGTTTTATAAGGATCAATGAGGCAACAAAATTATATATTACTTTAACATTAAACATGACTGAAATAAAGCACCAATATTTGCTCAACCGGTGAATATTAAAAGGATTTTTTTAGTCCAATAACTTAAACTGTATAATGCATTATAAAGAGGAAACAGTTCCAGATGCAATTAATTTATTGAAAAGCAAACAAGATACAAAGATTAAAGTCCAAAAACATCGAAATTGTCTCTTTAATTGACACCACATGAGATGAGAACAATCTTTTTTTAATCAATCTACATGTTTTACCCAATGTTTAGTTTAAGAATACTAAACTATTATCATTTACACAGAAAATACAGATTGACTACATAATCTTCAGATCAGTAATTGCAGTTCTAATTACTTCTAGAAGCATTTTTTTCCCCCCAGCCACCAATACAGTTTCTACTATAAGGCTTTTAATTATACTTTTATTTGTAAAGCTTCCTGCCTGAGACCCCCCACCCCAAGAAAAATAAGTAACAATAAAAAAACAAAAAATAACTGAATGTGAGGAAAATTAAAACTGTCACAAAACAGCAGAATGAGCTTTAATTTTTAGAACAAATGAAATTCAGTTCCTCTGAGGGATTTCTCTGGAACCACTTATGTTGTCCTCCTGCATCCATGGCTCCAGACATGTCACAGTCATTCTTCCATCTTTCTGAGGCCGGGCTCTGATTGCTGCCCCAGTTCTCCTTACAGACCCAGAACCAGGCCTTCATCAAGCAGTTGTAGCGCAGTCCCATCCAGACATAATCAGTCGAGGCCTTCTTGGCTTTCTCCTGGATCCATCTCTGCTCATCCAGGCTGGTGATGGTGACCAGGTCATGGTAGTGATCTCTGCAGTAGTATAAGGCATCCTCCCAGGTTTTATTTTCATTGATCAGGATCACTTTATCTGTTACAGCAGGTATGGGAGCAAACAAAGCTATTTCCACCTTTATTTCAGTAATTATTTATAAACAAGAACAAGAAAACAAACCATGGGCAAACAAAAACAATTAGTTTGAGAAAACTTTTCATTTTGAACCAATAAGTTTCTTCAAATGAACCACTAAGAACCACTGCCTGCATGTTTTAGATTTCTCCTTGCTGATTTATACAACTTAATGATAAATAGGCAGGTGTGAAGGAGGTCATGCAGTTATTTAAACCAGGTGTGATGCAAGAGAGACACCTTACATGTGCATGGCAGTAGAGGTTGAAGAACAGTTCTGAGAACAACTACATTAATTGATTAACCCCACACATTTCTAATTAATATTGGATGAACTCACCATCATAACAGATGAAGGGTTTTTTCCGATCACATCTGTCAGTCCTCCATCTGCCTTCATCATCAAATACAGTCATGGCACATCGACCCCTATTTGGTTGTGGATTGTTTTACTGGACATTCCAGTTTCTGAAAGAGAAACTGCTTCCATCTGACCACCTCCAGGTGTCTCTGAACAGACCAAAGAATGAATAATTGTCTGCAGACTTCATCACTTCCTTCAGTTCTCCATCCTGTAGCTGCTTCATTCCACTGATCAGGTCTGTGTGTTTCTCTCTGCAGTAACTCTGAGCTTCCTGCCAGGTCTTCCTCTCTTTAATCAAGTGGTATTTCTGGATTCTATTAGTTTCTGTGGAGTAAACAGAAAAAACTCACATCACATTATTTTGCTTTATATGCCTTCTTGTTTGGAAAAAGAAGGAAGAACACAATAAAATGTCTAAAGTGTGCAATCTGGTAAATAATAAGAGCTTTAGAAAAGTCATTAAAATTATTACCATCATAACAGAGGAAATGTCTTGTATATGTACAATGATAATCTACCCATTCAAGATTACTTAAAAGAGCCCCACAGTTCTCAGGAACGTTTCCATAATCATTTGGTTCTCCTTGGTTCCAGTTTGTCTCCCTTTCATTGAACTCCACTCCAGGCAGAGACCAGTACCATGTTCTGATACCATCTGTCTGATCATACAGACCAATCCAAGCATCCCTGTTATCTCCCGCTCTGGTACTGAGGAGTCTCTTCATGTCTGTCATGTTGGACACTGTGGCCAGGTCAGTGTGTTTCTCTCTGCAGTACTGCTGAGCTTCAGTCCAGGTCTTTAGCTCATTAATGTAGTGATACTCATAGAGCTGACAGTTGATGAAACAACTCTGACCTGAACATAAACATAAATATATTGCTTTGAATTATACCAGTATTCTACCAGTATTTCTCAATAGAGATTAAAAAAGAAAAAAAAAAAACTTCATCTGGTGTACTTAAACAAAATCAGGCTAATCTCTTCAGTATCAGCCTCATTTTTTCCTCCAACAAATTCCAGTGAGTTTAGTTGTTTCCATCAACTTACCCATCAGAAAGAGCAGAATCAGACTCCACCACATCTTTGTTTTCAGATGATAACTTTTATCTCAGCTGTTTGTCGAAGAAGGAGAAAACAACAGAATCAAAGCAGACCGTAAAATACAAAGCCAACTTTTTTTTTACCTACTGAAAGAACATGAATGAATCAATCAGATTAGATTCAGACAGTGAACTGAAACATCATGCTGGGACCTTTATTCATTCATGTTTTTTTTATTGAATATTTCTTGTTAAATATCTGTAAAAAAAACTGTCTCCGAATGTTTAACTGTTTTACGCTCAGATCCAGGAACTAAATTTATATATTTAAACCAGGAAGAACAGTATGTTCTTATCAATGTTTCTTATGCAAACAATCTCTAAACCGTGTGGAGGAGATAAAGACATAATCAAATAAACCAACATCTATTTATCAGGAAGATAATTCAGTCAAACACATTCCTGAAAGTAATAAAAACACTAAACATAAAAAAATAAAAATCACCAACATTTCTCATCAATGTGAGCTACTAGTATCACCACCATATTGGCTCCATGTTATGTTACATAATATAGAGCTCTGCTTAATCCAGCATCTAAAAATAAAGAGAATGGTTCTACTGTACACCTAACATGACAGGACTGTCCACCTACAGAGAGGAAAAGCAAGGACAGCATTAATCAGAGAAGCAGCAGAGGGGTGCTTGGTTACTCTGGAGGAGCTACAGAGATCCACAAATGAGCAGGTGGAATCTGGCAATGGGACAGCTAGTAAATCTGGTGTTTATGGTATATGGACAAGAAGAGAAATCAAAGAAAGTCTTAAGTTTGAAATTTTTCAGTAGGTGTATAGAGAAAACTTTCTTGGAAAAAGTTTCTGGTAAGAAGAGACAATAATTTAACTTATAGGCCTACATGTAAAACACCATTACACGTATCGGAATACACCATCCTTTCAATGAAACATGGTAGTAGCAGCATCATGTTGTGGGGATGTGGGAATACAGACACTAGTTAGAGTTACTAGGAAGACGAGCAATCCTAAAAAATAGAAATTGTAAAATTCTACGAAAACATGACACTCAGTCATTTATCACAACACATACTGTTTTGTTGAAATGTCCTATTCAAAATCCAAGATTTGAAAGTTCATATTCACAGTTGCTCTCTCCAGCCTAACAAATGAGTCTTAAAAACGCCAAAGCTGGTGGCAACAAGAGCCTGTCATGCATTTTTACTGGTTAAAATGTGAGCATTAAATTGCTTTTTTAATAAGCTAATCTAAAAAAACATGTAATTCTTTGAAATATATTTTTGATCAATACATTTAAACAAAGTGCAGAGAGTAAGTTTAGACTTACAGCTTCTCCTGTATGTTGTGATGGAAGCAGTCTTCAGTGAAATGATTGAACTAACACAGATCTCTCAGTATTATTCCAATATAAAGATTTGCGTAGTAAACCAGGAGAGCAACCGGTTGCATGAGAATTATGTTATTAATAAATCATGCAAAGAGGAAAAAGTTCTGAAAGAATAGCCTCTGTGCGTTGATCAAAAAACAGAAATAGAATCTAGTTTTAAAAGCACCTTTAAACAAAAGTCAATGGTTGTTTTGCCTTTAGTTGAGTAATTTATATGAGTTATCAGCAGAGGTGTCAAGTAACGAAGTACAAATACTGTACTTAAGTACACTTTTTAGGTATCTATACTTTACTCCATTACTTATTTTTCCTCCTACTTCCTACTTCTACTCATTACATTCTGACACAAGTATCTGTACTTTCTATTCCTTAAATTTTTTAAACAAACGTTACTCGTTACTCTTGGCTTCTGTTTAATGCAGAGATCACGGATTAGCGGACCGAGGTCAGGTGTTATGCGGAAAAGTGCATGCCTGCAGGGATATACACTCACCGGCCACTTTGTTAGGTACACCTGTCCAACTGCTCGTTAACACTTAATTTCTAAGCAGCCAATCACATGGCGGCAACTCAGTCCATTTAGGCATGTAGACATGGTCAAGACAATCTCCTGCAGTTCAAACCGAACATCAGTATGGGGAAGAAAGGTGATTTGAGTGACTTTGAACGTGGCATGATTGTTGGTGCCAGAGGGCTGGTCTGAGTATTTCAGAAACTGCTGATCTACTGGATTTTCGTGCACAACCATCTCTAGGGTTTACAGAGAATGGTCCGAAAAAGAAAAAACATCCAGTGAGCGGCAGTTCTGTGGGTGGAAATGCCTTGCTAATGCCAGATGTCAGAGGAGAATGGCCAGACTGGTTCGAGCTGATAGAAGGGCAACAGTGACTCAAATAATCACCCGTTACAACCAAGGTGGGCAGAAGAGCATCTCTGAATGCACAGTACGTGGAACTTTGAGGCAGATGGGCTACAGCAGCAGAAGACCACACCGGGTGCCACTCCTTTCAGCTAAGAACAGGAAACTGAGGATTACAATTTGCACAAGCTCATCGAAATTGGACAATAGAAGATTGGAAAAAGGTTGCTGGTCTGATGAGTCTCGATTTCTGCTGCGACATTCGGATGGTAGGGTCAGAATTTGGCGTCTACAACATGAAAGCATGGATCCATCCTGCCTTGTATCAACGGTTCAGGCTGGTGGTGGTGGTGTCATGGTGTGGGGAATATTTTCTTGGCACTCTTTGGGCCTGTAATGAAGAGGTCTTCATTACTGGGACTATTTTTATGTATATAGTTTTATGTAAATAGCTTGTAGCACTTTTAAGGGCCCTTTGCACTTTATTAAAAACAGCTTGCTTAGCACTAGGACACTTTATTGGGCACTGCATTGCAAATTT